GAGCCATAGCAAGCTGCTTTAAAGATGATTCAACATTGTAAAAAGATACTGAGATCATCAATGTGGAAAAACAAGAAAATAAATTTTAATTTTCAAGGAGTCTTGGACTAAGTTTGACAAATTGCCCTCACAAAGATAATCTGAAGGTTGAATATGTCTTACTGATACGTCTGTGTCACTTAAGCTGATTTGGTAGGACTTTAAAGCTTTGAATATGAACGGAGCCATAGGGATTTGCGCCAATATCATGTACCTCCGAAGTCTGTTCTCTTTCGTGCAATCGTCTGTAGCACTTGAATACTTAGAATATCATGGTGAATTTTAGGTGTGCCAATCTGATTTTACATCCAGTGAACGTTTAGGAAAGTTCGAAGTCAATGGTACGTTGTAAAAATATAAGTTGGTCTTTGTTTGTTCATTCCATCAAAACACGGTTATTACACTTACTGAAATCGTTGATTACTTTTGTCCCATTGATTAAATAGTTATGAAGTTCCACCCATATCTTCTCTCGGAGAACAACACTGGCAGTAAAGAGCATAGGTAGCAATTGTTGCCGCGTTCTGGCTTCTTTCATAATCATCCAAATACCATTTGAATGAATTACAAGCCCATACTTGATGACGAACTTCGAATTTACTAGCTTCCAGTCTTTTTTAGTAAATGCTTTCACGGGAGCTGAATTTTCGTTGCAAATCTGCTTAGATTACACCACACTTATGCGCAGTTGCATTCTATTGGTTTTATTGACCGGTTGGTCGTTGTGTGCTTCAACACGAATGCTTTGCAATGTACAGCTCTTAAAAACACCAACAGTTGCTTATTGAGGGCATTTCTCTATTGGATTTCTGTATCCCTCCGCTGTTGGCTACACATGAAGCCACTATCTGGACTCCTTTTAATTCACTTGTCTGATCAAACGAAATTTAACGACGTGTTTATAATTAAGTCGACAGGTTGAATCGCGTCCACCCCCTATTGCCCCTTTTTGTTGCTACCTCAATTTATGGTCCGCTTCGACTTACCACCCCTCCCCACCCATCCAGTCGCTGAGCCCCAATCTACAATGAAGGTGGTGCAGATGGTCATCAGACTTAGCAGATTACGCAGCCATCTGCTGAATTTCGACAAAAAATTCCCAGGCGTTGATTTCCTTTCAGTTCTTTATCGAAAGTGCATTCATCTCAAACAACTCAGGTGAGCTGACAAATATTAATATAAAGTCTGATCAGGTTAATCCTGTTAACCTGTTTGCTTTGACACTAATTCGGTTGTAAGGTAGGAGCCGGGGGGTTGGTGGAAAAAGGCACAAAGTAATATTCAATTGAACAAATATGTCGGGGATTTGAAGACCCGCATTGGTTTGTTTGACTTGTTTGTTGCCACCACAACAACAAATCCCCAATGTATGCCAGTTGACACGACCCTGTCTCGACAAGGAATGCTGGCAACAATTTTATTGGATTAATTTTTTTGACTCAGAGCGTGTCTACGGGGTGAAATAACTGAAGGAAAATTATTTATGTCTTTCAGTTTGATTAGAACTTGGCTTCCTTGAAGTCAACGACTTTTGTGATAACCATAGTTCATCATGTAACATAATGCCTAATTTGGGTTCAGAAGAAGTTAGAACGAACAGCCACGCAAGACTACATGAAAATGGTGCAACAACCCACTTGATCCATACATAGAAGGTTGAGTTGTTACCATAGTAGAAAGTTACACTCTTTTGAGAATTCAATTTAGGAAAAGATATATTATGACTCAAGATACCTGTCAACCGACATGTCTATAGCTTAAGAACAAAGTCAGCCGACTTCAAAATCGCTCACAAAGTCAAACAGGCAAAACATTCAGGATGCAAAAAATGCGAAGATATAGCACTGAAGAGGTTTAATTCATAATACCATAATCAATCATTCAATCAAATTGACAGCTGTTGACTAAAATCCCTTAATTTTTGTGATCAGGGATGCGAAGACAGAAATAATCACAAAAACCGTAATTTTAAAAAAAATTATGGTGACTGATTAATGAAACCCAACTTGTGACCGTGAACGCGTTCTTAAAACTTATTTGATTTGTAAAGAATTTTCTGATGGGTTGCAATTCAGAGGCACTTTATCACTTCAAAACAATACTCATTATCCTCAGACATGTATGACGTATTGGATTCCTGGGTTCGTGAACAAAACACAAAGGTTTAAATCAATTGAGAGAATTATTGGATTTCGAATTATATATTCTACTTTAATGGAAATAAGTAAACTAAATTGCAATCATGGGCAATGATTGACACTACTTGTATTTATTACCGGCATTACTTCAATAATGAGCCTGATATAGGGAAACGGACTTGACTAACTAAAACCTGCCACTAAAAATCTTAACACTGATGCATCACATGCATTGACTAAATAACTATAACTAACTACAAAGGAGAATTTATTGATGGCTATATGTTATCCAATATCCCCATGTCCATTAGTGTCACTATCTCCTTAATAAAAAACGTACATAAAATAACCGAAATGAATTTCGAAGGATACTGGTGACCCTATCCACTAGAGTTATGATCTTACTGACTCCTGCTCGTTAAATCCGGCGCCACGTACTCCAGCACACCGCCCTCCTTTTACAGTGACCTTAACAACCACGCCGTAGGTGCAAACCATATTTATTTAAAAATCTAACCCCTTATGGCTCAGATACACGTGAGGTACAAAAGGGGATCCCGAACGTTTAGTAACGCAAATATGTTACGCATGTCGAGAACTCTGTTTTGTTGGTTTAGTATGCAACGTGCCTACTGATCAGGCACGTAAAAATGGTAGATTAAGATCCGCCTGCCCCCCCCCCCGGGATAGTGGCATCCTCAGGGTTGACTACCAGACATAGGACAAAAAACAAATAGGGTGGACCTTATGTATTCCAGGCTACTATACACAACGGCTGAGGAGCTTAAGCTTATGAAGAGAGTAAGAGCGGGAATAGGATAAAGATACACGTAGAGAGGTCAGGGTTGTCTTAGGACCTACAGGTCCTGCTTAAAAAATTAATGACGGCAGACTACACCGATGTTCCTTAACTTAAATTAAAAGTGCGCCCTTGGGGAAAAAAAGGGTTAAAACAAAAAATTAGACAGGAATACCAGGGTAAATAATACAAAACACTATTTCTTCCACCAAGGTGCATTCATCTTCCTCGCTCCTCGTTTATTTTATCTGGCCGTTCGACCACTTGACTTCTGAACTTTAACCTAAATTGTGTTGGCCAACATCTTAGGCACGCACGAAAATATCACTTATTTGGGTTATTTAATAAATGGCTATGTACCCATCATCGCAGTCTTACACGGCATCTGTACAGCATAACTGAATTAATACGATGCAAGAATCCAGAGTGGTTTAAGACCACAGACGGGGGCCTTCAAGATAGCAATATGTATCAGAAATTAAAAGTCTTGTCAATACTGCATTCCCATTGTGCTCAGGCACATACTCCACAAAATAACGTCAAAACTGTCTAGCTATTAAAAAACAGCGTATTTCAATGTAGAGTTAATTGAATGATCTGAAGGAGAAAAAATATCACTTATAATTTTACTTGATGGCTGACTGTATACAGTAGCTATTTAGCTTAAGACATCGTAAACGATTGCCTATTAGGTCAATGATTTTGATCCGTGAACTGTAAGGCTTTAGAGGGGAATTATGAAAATTAAGCTGCTGCTCAGCTTTCTTTGAATGAGCAAGTCATAAAAGTTTAATAAAGATAAAATTAATTGTTCAAGTGTATTTTAGTAATCGTATTGTCACTGCTATTTTTAAACTTTCTCATCAAATCTTGGAGTATAAAATGGTCATACATATTTGCTTTGAAGTGAAAATAAAACATTTAATACCATCACTCCATTTATTTTATTAAGAATTTAAAAATTAGTGTACGTAAAGACAAAACATATTTGTTGCATTAGGCATCATTAATAAAAGATACTTGTGAACTGCTGATGTTAATTTTTTACTGACAAATCAATGATACATTTAAAAACCTAAATGCCTTGTTTTAATGCTTTAGTTTTTATGCACCCCTGGTCTGTAGCTTATTTAACAGGTTCTGGTAAGTGCATCTCAGTCAGTTCGGTGTGGATTGTTCTCATGTGCTTAGTTTGTCTTCTTCCAATTTCTTTGCGAATCTTAACCATCACTAATCTATTGTAGCTTAATGTCTTTGAAAAGAAATGGACAGCTGAATAGTGTTGGATGAAGTAATCAGTTTCTAGTTTTAATAACCTAAGTCCTTTAAATGACAACTGCGATAATTTTTTATTTACACCAAAATTCGGTTCCACACAGATTGTTTTAAACAACTGTAGCTTAGTACATCAATTTTTTACCAATACTTTGTGTCACTTTCATTTTTACAGCCTCACTGACCTTTAAAAGACTTGTTGCAGTCTTGGTTTACTGTCGTAGGGAACAAGTGCACGTTCTTTTGTGGGCTTTTATACATGTACTCGATAGAATCTGTTTTACTGTAAATGCTCGCTGACGAATTATTTGTTAATGGTTGATTCCTTATATTACGGATTACTGATTTTTTACCGACTAAGTATTCGGTGTGTTTGAGTTAAGCGTTTGTGGTCATGTAAGCTGGCAGACTTGGGAAATTTTTTTGGGTAGATATAGGTTTTTATCACACACTGTTCAAATTTGGAAACTTAGTATAATCACTATAAATTTGCTGCCTTTTTGTCGTTAAAAATAATATCTGGGTGTAAAACTCAGTCTAACCCTTGTGTAATAGTATTTTTTCTATAACGAGGCTTGGTTTATAATGAATAGATTAGCGTGCCGGATCCTAATGGTCTATTTTCCCTTCCAGTTTCAATAGGGACTGCCATGCACATCAGTACACGAACGGGACAGCGTTTAACAATTGGAGAACATTTATACTATTTCTGATTTCTGACGCAGACAACTCTCTAGTCAGGTGTAACAATGCGCCATCGACACATTAGCACTCAATTCTCAGGCGGTTTCCTTGCCTATTTTCCGTTTGTTTTCATTCTGCTCCTCACGTGGAACACATTACAAGTTTCTGCGGCAGATTGCGCTAAAGCAAAACGTGATTGGCTTAATTATCGGTACAAAACACATGTCGCTACCCCTGTTTCATCGTCTTACAGTAAGTGATTTTCTTTCATGTTTTTATCGTGCTATAGATCAACCAGTTTGCCCTATTCCTGAGGGCAATTCATGTTGTGATAAACAGATGGAATTGGATATATATGGAGTCGGTGAAAGTGAACTTTCAAGCTCCCTTGCGAGCTGGCTTATTCCCACGGCCGAACAGCTGGAAAGTGATAGCGTGGCCCTAGATTGTGAGTTAGTATATTCTTATTATTCGTCACACATTTTGCACTTCCCATTAATTTCATCTTAGTGATTTGAAGCGTGTTTTCATAGCCGAGGAAATCAGTATTAACTCTTTAATTTGTATATGTATGATTAGCTAAGGTAAAATATGTTTACTTATTTTTGCACCAACTCGGTTATAGTAGATAAACAGTAAACAGGTCTTTAGTTTAGTCAAAGCAGTTCAAAAGTCATACCGTTTATGAACTGTCAGGTTGTTCAACTCGCGTTATCGTCTAACTTTTCAGCTAAATAATTGTAATGCTGCTCTGTGATTTTGCCTTTTTATGGGTTGGTGTACAACGTGTCCTGAACCATATCCGCATTCGTTCTTCACCTATTTTTAGTCAATATTTTACTAGCTACAAAAACATAAAACTAATAGTCTTCGAAGTCCACACGCACGCGCGCAATTTGTTATCATCTAACCCATGACGTAGCAATAAAACGATGTAAATCATAACCGTGGGGACTCCCGATGTAGTCGCGTTGAGAACGAGCTCATACTGGCCTTAAGCAGGTCCAAGAATGACGTCAACTGTAAGTCTACCTGCCTGTTAGCAGTTGTTAACCCTGTCTGAATATAAATAACTGACATTCCATGGTAGTCCAAAGAGAGAATGTTAGACCTTCGACATCTAATTTCAGTCTCCCTGACTTCGATAGACTGACCTCGGTAAACAAAGCAGTCTATCTCGATTCACACCAAATAACAGAAAATGAAGCTGATTTAGCTTCTATTTATTCAAGTAGGTGGTCCTAATTCAGAGAGGTTTATAGTCCCGGAATTACTAAATATCTCCATGGACCCGGTCTGTTAGTAGTGGAACCGTAATTAACAACACATCGCATTCGTTTTTTTCCTTCTTTGCCAACGCCATTCTGCACTAGCCCATAGATTTTTGTTTAAAATCTCTTAACCACTCTTCTACCAGCTATCTGGATTCATGTTTTCACGTTTCTCACCTTTGCAGCCGGACGTTTCTAAGAAGGGACATTTCTAGTGATCGTACTTTTCATTTGCGAATTTTAAATGTTTACTAGTAAAAAATCAGCATTGTTACAATAACCACTTCGGTATGTGGTTTAGCGGAAATCACTAGAATGAAATTTAAAAAAAAATGTTTTTAATTTTTAAGCAGCAAGTGATCGTGTTCAATCTCGTGGTAGATATCTTTCAAGTCGTAAGCACAGTTGTTGGAGTACATTAATTAATCTTAAAGCCAATTTTTTCCAGATTTAAATGATATCAAACACGAATGCTAAATTTCTTAGTGTTTTTAGTGGTGTTCCTGTGAAGCAGACCTATGCATCACTTCTCCGTCAAGTCATTGATCTTAACATTTTGCTAATTTCGGTATCTCGCTAAAATTACTCTTGTCCAGACTCTCAGACAACTATTCACTGTTGCTGCATGTTTGAATGGGTGATGTTCTCATTGGGGAGGAAGTATACTGTAGTGCGCACGATCATTGGAATGGAAATTTTATTGGCTCACTTTGACCTTTCAGTATATCTACCAGAAAACGACGATCGAAATGAATAGGCCTTTTTTTCTGGGGTACTGGATTTTTTACCCTGATCAGATTTATTGGGTCTTTGTCAAATCACTAAAAGGTGCCGTCGAAGGGCACTTGTGACTTAAGATTGGTGTCTAATTGTTTTTTGTGAATGTTCCATTGAACTTCGAATGAAATTGCCGTGTCGACTAGGCAAAACTTGGGGCGCCATTCCACGGGTCTATTCAATCCAGCCTACTCAGTCGTGCTTAAACAAGGACTTAATTGGAACCTCGTTTCACGTGTGTAGCGTCATCTAGTTGAGTGCGGAGAGGGGAGGGGCTTCTGGCTCTAAATGTTGACGTGGAGAAATCGACCCACCCTTTAACATAGCTTCGTGTGCCTTTTGGTGTTATGGGGTTTTCGGATATTAGCGCTGGTATCCATTATACATTAGCCTTAGTTTTTAAACTGACCATTTTTGCATTTCCAGACTACCGACGTGCCGCTCTAAATGTCGGCATTGGGTTTCATCCCGAAAGGGGCCTCAGAGCGTGGGGCTGTTGGTACAGAAATTCAGAAGTTACTAATTTTCCTTGAAATCGGACTTCGGAAAATGAATCAGTAGTTGTAGCCACGGAGTAGATCTGACTTTCTCCCACTAATAACGTCTTGTAGCAGGTAAAATATCATGCGTATTTCCTTAAGTAAATACTGCCTGTGATTATTTGGTTGGATAAATGGCCAACTGCTGTCAACGGAGATATCGAGAACAGCCTGTAACTGCCCTCAAAGTCATGGTTTGGGATCCCGCCTTTACCTGCAACGTGTGTGTGTGTGTGTCTGTATGCGTATTTAAACACTCTTGCGTTCACTCACAAATTGCCCGCACAAGTGCCTAATCGCAGGTGGCTGCTGCAACATAATTCTGCACATCGGCATCCCGCAGGGCTCGCGGTGCTGCTGCTGACTCACCTGCCACAGGCCAGATTGCATCGTTCATTTGGCCGTAGGTACTTGCACAACGCGCCCGACATTTCCTAAGCCTTGGCCAAGCCAAATCGCCAACTTAATGTGTTTTTGTGCACTTGTGTGTTGGTCCCTCCTTTTGATAGATACTTTCGACTTCGTTAGGTGGTAAACGTTACAGGAAATCCGCATTATCTTTATCTTCATTTATCTTAGGAATGAGGAATTGCTACCCAAGTACCGAATCAGTATTTTGGGCACGGGGATTTGGTTCAGATTTAAACCTCATTTACTCCTTTGAAATGATCTGTACTGAGTGTATTGCTCTATGAGAGTAAGAGAGAGAGATATGTGTTTGCTTGTGGTTTTATGTGGTACGAAAGGAGCTAGCGTCCTTTTATGAGCCACTTGTACATTTTCCGTGACAACCATTCAGTCATTAAGGCACCCCCACTCATACCGTCCAGAATAACGATCGTGAATCACCCTAAATCTCGTTGCCAACCGTTATTTGGGTGGACAGTGTTATAACTCGAACCATTTGACTCAGGTTGTTCTATTCGATTTAGTGAGACCAAGCATTATTTCGAGGTAATTCAGCTTATTAGTTAGCCGATAACTTGGGCCGTTTGACTTAGATGCAGACGCGAGCCGACTTCGATGTCCACGGACTTGACGCAGATTTTCCTCACTTCCCCTCGTCGTGGCAGTTTGCTTATCAAGCAATAAATACTGCCTAATTATCTGTTTAGAGTAACTACAATACTGTTTACTGGCAGTCGTTTTTGCACACAGTACTTTGCCAGTTACATGACCTAAATTCCGTAATGCCCATTAATCTTCCTTTTAAATTTCACATAAAGTTGAAATCCAAACTGCAAGGGACCTACAAATTACTGCGCCTTAAGTAAGGTGAAGGTGTTGGATAGCCTAGCGCTCTCTTGTTAGGCCCAGTTTTCTGTCAAAGGCTGGCGGCTCTGGCCGCGATTCGTACACGCCCACGGAATCGAGGTGATTCATGCACGCTGATGGCTTTGGAGTGCCAACTGACTGGTCAAGTCACGCATTCTAGCTTCACTAGTACTCAGGCTCTCTAGAGAGGACGTGCTGTGCTAGGCCGTTTAGCGAGTTACAAAAATCCAGGTCAATTTTTCATCCGTATTTTCATTAGGGGAAAAGTTCAAGCGATCATATCTAGTTAGGTTCTTTTACAAAGTAAGCGTAAATTTACCCATGCAAAAAATTTGCGCGATCGCACATTTCCATCGAAATAAGTACCGTATCCACTTAAAAAAGGTAACGCTGAAGACAGCCTAATTACTGGTTGGTCCACGCTTCCACTCTACCACCAAGTAAAATCGGCAGCTTATTGTAAATTCATTGTGAACAGTTGGTGAAGTTTCTTGAATTGTTTGTCTACGATATCATCAAACAATTCATCATCTGGTGGCTAGTTCACAGCAGTGTTTTCGTTGTTAAAAAGTTCAATAACACATTGTAGTCGTTGAAACGCTTCCATCACAACTGCACTTTGATGGTCGACAGCCACTGAAATCCACTTTATGCAATTTGGCAATCCTAACAGCTTTCGCTTTGGGTAATCGACGTCTAGCCGCTCCAGAGGACTATTGTTATTTGTTTAAGCGTTTTTCGCATGGTTATTTTAAACAAAGAATCTAGCAGGTATCTTAATGTAGGATGTTTACCACGAGATATAGCTTAGCGTTGCTCTAAGTGTATCTGACGCACTTTCCTATGTATCTCCATGGCAGGTTTTATAATTGCAGCACGAGTTAATTTCGAGTTTTGGGATGATATATAATGTGAAAGGGGGAACATCAACGACAGAACAGGTGCCCTTTGCCGAGGCTTCTAATGCAGTAAGAAGTGGTTTCTCCCTAGGTGAACACGTCACCCCAAGTGCTTCACGCAACCACATTTCTTCATTAGACTCGTATGTGACCTGTTCGTTCAATGTAATTAGCGATCTAGTCCAACGGCTTATACCACGAA